TTGTATCGCTGAAGCTCCTCTGAAAGAATTTCTACTGAAAATTAACAAACAAGCAGATACGTAACAATTCTTTATTCACGAATGTTCTATAATCTTGAAGAAATGGCGAGAGTTTCTCCATACGTAACTAAGACGGTAAGATAAACACGCCCTCAAATATAAACTTAATCGAAACAAACGTTGACATTAAAATAAATATATCACAAATTCGTTATATGCAACACGTATCTGGTAATACAAGTCATGCCTATTTATAAATACAAATTCAGTACAAACAACGTTCATATTAAAAATAAATGCATAATAATAAATTCGTTACAATCCCAAAGCCGCTACGACTGTTGGATGCTGAGGTATCATCTGTGATTCTTAGACATCCATCTCCTCTCCAGGTAACTGTCCCTTATTTAGCAATGAAAGACTAGCAGAAAGGCAGCTACTTAACATCGCCTTCCACCGATTCTTGTTTGTTAATTTCCTGTAGAAATTCTTTCCAAGAAACTTGAGCCATACAAGTCCTTTTTTGATTTACCCAGTTTATTCTTCCTAGATACAAACTTTTAGCACACAATAATTTCACAATCAGTATGTTTCACCTAGTCACTAAACTTGACGACTCTTATAATACACGCTATAAATCACAGCGATTCACAACCTCGATAACTTCGCTCTATGCAACTGCAAGACACACACAATTTATGGTTCACGTGGCTACTGTTCGATTGACTCAATTATCTCTCTCCGCTGGCTTTCTTTGCCAGGCTTATATAATTAAAAAAGGGGGCATCTAGATCACACTCGAACTGCCACGCAAATTCATGATCATTCGAGAAACTCCAGCGCGCATGTTCCCAGGTTCACGTGACTTCCGCTGTCGTAACAATACTTTCACTCTTCTGCCTTTTACTTTAGTTATTTCCTTCTCAGGTTTCGTGACTTTCAAGGTTCAAAGATCTTTTCTTAGAATGTAATTTTAAAAATAAGCAATAAAAACTTTATATACAGGTTATCCTCCTAAAAATCAATAAGATGAAATAAATACAGATTTTAAAAAAATATATTAATGTAGTGGATTTTCTCCGAGAAATCTAAAATGGAATTTATATAAATTCATCCTTAACCTCAAATTATCAGCCCGGCATGTCCAGGTGGTTAGGGCGCTCGAATCACAATCTGAGGGTCGCGGGTTCGAATCCCCGTCACAACAAACATGCTCGCCCTTTCAGCCGTGGGTACGTTATGAATTGCGTTGGTTTTTACCAAAAGTTGGCGGTGGATGGTGATGACTAACTGCCTTCCCTCTAGTCTTACAGTACTAAATTATGGACGGTTAGCGCAGATAGCCCTCGTATAGCTTTGCGCGAAATACAAAAACAAATAACCTTAAATTATCTGTTTCGTCAACTTATACTTTACTACAAGTTACACATTCTAAAAGGTATATTATATTTCTTGAATTGCAATTAAATAAATTATGAACGAAAAATATAACTTACTTATAAATTCGTAAAAATATTTTACGAATGTAAATATTTTATGAACAAATGTAGAAATTCTGAAAGACTCATACTTTCATGACATGTAATATAAACTTAAAAGATTACTTTTTGAAAATATTTCTTAAATTATTTTGATGCCAGTTCAAATAGGTAGAGGTAAGAAGGCAGAAGTAATACTAGTTGAGCAGGGTTAATTATAATTGTGCAACAATTACAAATATTACTAGGAATTACATAAAGACGGGGATTCGAACCCGCGACCCTCGGATTGCCCTAACCATCTGACCATGCCGGGCCGATAAGGGGTATTTTAATTAAATTATTAAAGATTATGAAAAAATACTGTTTTTCCTATGATGTCAGGGGAAGTTTAACTGTAAAAGTTATAAAATAAAATATTAAGGAATGGAAATTAACTTTCAATCAGTGCAAGCTACCTACTTAGAGCGAAACTAAACCATCAACCTTGTAACGTGTATAAATAATTAGACGATTTTAATACTTTTTTTTTATAGAAATGTTCGAACATTACAATTCAGTGCTACTAGTTAAGGACACTTAGTTAAATATTCACAGTTGATAGGTTTTTAGTTATATATATATTTCATAAAAAATTATGAATGTGTCTTATTACATATCCATAAATAATATCAAGCAATGAATTTCATACTTGTACATTACAAAACAAAATCACAAATTATATGTTTCAATGCCCAAAATGCATTATTTAATGTTAACTTCTGATCAGAGCAAGCCATCTGCTTAAAGCCAATCTCAAAAATCAACCTGGTAATGAGCATAACCAATTAAATATACTTTTGATACGCTCTTACTTATTAAGATTAGAATACAATGTTTCATCTGTTGGATACCCTCCCTGTTATCGATATTTTCGACCGTAAACCCAACAATACCTCATAAGGTTCAGCTATCTTATAAACTTTAGGATACTTTTGAATATATTAGGTTATCAAGAAATTAATGTCGCGTTTTGGAACACTTTCATTAACCCCCCCACCACCACCACCACCAAAAAAAAAACGTACATCACGTATAATAGTTAAACGAACTGTCTAAACGTCACGTTAGTGTAGCATATATAATGTGATGTGATATATAGTGATGGCACACTACGAGACACCATTCGGCATGTAATGCTGTTTGAATACAAGATAGGAAACAACGTCTCTGTAGCCAGAATATCAAAAAGTTTATGGAAATGTTTTGAACGTTTATAAGTGTCAACGATGGTTCAGAAAATTTCGTTCAGGTGATTTTAGCCTTAAATACTGTGATGGCAGGGGCCGACATGTTGGAATTGATATTGATGCTCTAAAGACGCTTATTGAGTCTAACCCAAGGCAACAAACTCGTAAAATGACCCTGAACTTGCATGTCTCTCGTAAAACAATACGTAAACATCTAAGGAATATGAGAAAACCCCATAAAGAAGGTATTTGGGTGCCTCACGAACTCTCCTATGATCAACGTTTCCAATGTGTGAACATTGTTTCGTTTCTTCTGACGCGTAATGCGCATGAACCATTTTTGGACAGAATTGTCACCGGTGATGAAAAATGAATTCTCTATGCGAATGTTTAATGCC